ATAGCCCTCTTGAATAGGCCTTTAGATAGTGGAGAGACTATATGTGCGGACACCGACCAACTGCCGGCGCTCTGACCAAATATAGTGATCTGATCCCTATCCCCACCAAATAAATGTATGTTTTCTCGAACCTGTAATTTTAGTATTGATTAATACTTTAATTCAAATATTACTTTATTTATAACTTTTAAATACCCATTTAAGGGCCAATAACTGGTCATAAAAGCCCACATTTCCGGGCGCCGTCTCATCGCCACCATATAAGAAGCCAAACGGACCTAATCTATAGTTCGGGGCCACGAGTAGGACATCATGTGTGGCCAAAACACTGCCGTTATAGTCGTGAAAGAAAATGGACCCAGAAGTCAAACCCCCGCCATATATCCAAAACATGACTGGTTTTAGTGGTGAGCCTTTCGATGAGTTATTGTTTCCCGCATTAGGTGTCCATATGTTTAGTACCAAACAATCCTCACTTGTGGTCGCATTTCCCCAAAACTCGTGGGCGTCTTCGGGTGGTATTTGCATACATGAGTTGCCGGGTTGTGTCGCATCTATAATGTCCTTGGTACCAATTTTAATATTATTTCACATGAATATTTTATAAATATTGGTAAGACTTACATTTAATGGCTTTTCTATGGGAACTGGTTTTGCAAACCTTAGGTCACCCACCGGTGGTTCGGCATAAGGTATGCCAAGAAACTCGTAAATACTTGTGTTCAACACATTTATAGCCTGTCCTCTAACTACCCCTGATGTAGTACTCACATTAATACTATGTCCATAATTTATATTAATTAAGAAAATGTAGAAAATATTAGTAAAAATGAAATTTATTAACATTATCAAAAAAAATAAAATTTAAAACTTAATCAAAAAATGAAATCAACTTATCTTTTATATTGCTTATATTTATATTGATCTGTCAATCAGTTGAAAGTTTGTAAAGACCGGTACTTTTTCAAGTTTTATCACATATTGAGTACAAGTGTTGTCTATAGACTATAGATATTACACAAAAGATCTTGACTTTTGAATTCATAGAAGTGATAACAATAGGTACCATAAAAGTATTAGCGATCCATCAAGGACAGTCTATTATGAGTCCAATAAGTGCTTTCGATGTAATTTTATCAATGAATACAAAAAAGTTTCCACAATTTTTTAAAATATATATATACAGTACTGTATTGAATATTTCTATGTATTTAATGATAAAAGTTTATTTTAAGATTACTATTACAATACAATACAATAACTTATTACGTTATTAATACAAATTTCATAAGAAATAGACGCAAGCATAAAATACAGGTTATGCAGAAATACTTTGTTTAAAATCCAATATTTAAGTTCAAGGTGTTTTGCACATTTGCTTAAGGTCTGCATTAAAAATTACATAATTTAATTTTAAGTTTCATAATACAATTATAATAACAAACATTTTGTAATTTACAATAGTTAATTTTAGGAATTATGCTCAAGTTATTTTTATAAAATGTTATTCAAATACAGAAACTTATTATAATAATTGCATTACCAAATCAAATCTATTAATTAAAATCAAAAATACATAGTAAATATTTAAAATGATTTTTTCTGTTTACTTAAATAAAGTAAACTATTTGTTTGCTGTTTGAAGTAGAATAACAGTGTAGTTCAGAATAAATATAAAAACCTGTCAAATAAATCAATATATAATTAAAATAATTAAAACACATTTAGATTTGACCCTACTCACAGAAATAAGCGTAGATTTATTAAGTCCAGCAAATCCCCCGATTGTAAACCCAAATGCACGGGAATTCCGTACGATATTCCCAATCATCTGCCATTCCCTATACTCCATTTCCGACAATTCATTGGCATTCATAGCATACAAGGCATCACTTATCTTGATAATATTTCCTTCAACTGTACCGCATATTAGGCACGAGATAACCATTTCCCCAATACACGAGCCACAACCCACTGCCCACACCATGATCAGAGTCATCATTAACACGTGTAAATAGGTGTTGAGGGCACTTCCCACGTAGATTTGAAACATTACCGAGAATATTGTGTTTATGGTATTCAAACAGAACACGTATTTTAAACTTTCATCCAATTCAGCGATTATGTCATGGATTTGCAGCAATTGTTTCTTAGTGTCCATTAATGTTATTAAAGTCACTCTCTTTAGGAATATTCTCTCGATTTCTGAGAGAGAGAGAGAGAGAGAGAGAGAGCGAGAGAGAGAGAGAGAGAGAGAGCGATAAATATATGTATTTTAATAGATATTGATTTAATGGCTGGAATGACATCAGATGAGGCCTCAGGGATGTTAAACCAGATGTTCCCCGACGTACACAACCTGACTGTCGAGGAGAGAGAGAGAGAGAGAGAGAGAGTTTTGAAATTATTGATTAATGTTTCAATGTATAAGCATAGTGTTACCTGGATATTGTTTCTGACAATTAATAAGGTTGGATCTGATTGAATCAAGCACATCAGCGCAAGTAATAGCTATTATCCAGATAATTGCCGGCAATGTCCAGGAAAATATGACTTGTAAATAGATATGACCAAGCACAATCACAAAAAAGCCGAAAAAATGACTAACGTTAATTGCTGGAATAGACAGACTCACGCAAAAACACATAACACTCAACACAAAATGTACCAGCCACAAAATAAAAACAAACGCATAGTTTTTAAAATTAAATTTTTTATACTTTCTAGCCATGGTATAAATTGTCTTAAGATCACTGATCAGGGCAAACCCTTTAGCGCTGTTTGTGTACAGCATTGCCGCTGTTTTATACATACATGTAATCATTTTCATGACAATAATAGTCATCAAAATTGATGCTAGCTTATTTTGGGAGCCATTAGGTGCCCGCAATAACTTTGATTCAGCCCTAATAACTTTATTTAAAAGGAGAGCGTCGCCTAAAAATGAAGCTATTACTATAGTATAGCCGTAGATTTTAAATATGACCCTGGTGCTTAACCGTCCGGTTTTGTCAAAAGTTAGGCCACCAAATGATAAGCCATTTATACGATGACCCCATAGCATTATGGTAATAAAAATGGACCAAAATGACATGTTAGTAAAGGTTAATAACTATTTACTATTAACTATTTAGTAACTAATAAATTAAAAATGAAATTCTAAAAATTCTAAAAAATCAACTAGATCAACTAGAAAAATTTACTTTTATTATAAAAATGCAGGTTATGTGAAGCAAAAGTAAATCTGTATTTGAATGTTAAAATTATTGACATAATAATGTTCATGTGCTTACACAACATTAGGGTAAATAAATTTTTAATAAATTAAAAGTAAACTTACAAAGTTAAGTTAATACAATACAATATAAGTGGTTTTTATAAATAGATTACAAAACAAATATTGAACATGAAAATTATAATTTATTTAATAATAATTATTATTAAATTATAAATTTTAATTTAAAAGAAAATTATTTTTAAAGCTTTGGCTGCAGAATAAAAATAAAAGTTACAATCAATTGAATTCAAGTGTAGACTCAAACTGGTTGTACACAATGTCCAGAAATAGTCCGGATCATTCATTTGGATAATGAGACACAACCACCCCTCCCACCGGCAGACCGATTTGTTTCTAAAAAAGTACATTTAATAAAGTTATAACTTTTTAATACAGTAATACAAAGCATAATAAAATTAAACACAAAATTATTTTGAATGATTTTATTCAACAAATAAAATGAAATCAAAAAATAAAACTTGAAATACACCGAATTGAGTGATTGATTAAAATGATACAGTAAATAATATTTTGAATGTGGTGGCAATGGACCACGATACTTAAAAATGCAACTTCACAAAAAAATCATTAACCCGTGATAAACATAATTTAAAATATAAGGTGCCTGGGTGTGTTTGTTGTAGGGTTAAAAGGGTGTCCGATTGGCGCCAATGTATGATAGCATTATAAGTTTGAAATCAATTATTTGCAGAAATAAAATGCATAAAATTTTTTTGAGTATACTTTAAGCCTTGAATTCATACATAAGTTGAAAATTATAAATTTATATAAAAAACTTAATTCTAGTCAACAATATGAAATCAAAACCCAATATAAAACATGTGTTTATCACCAAAATAGACACAAAACCACACCATTATGTCCGGAAGTGATCCCCAACCACCACAGGAGCCCAAGACTGGTATATTGCTTAAAGGAATACCTATCAGTCCCCGTAGGCCTACCCAACTTCCATTGGCACAAAATGTACCTGATCGCAGTTTATTGGACATAACTCCCACCTCAGTGGTAGCTGATGAACCGCTAGAGCCAGAACATACCGGTGCGATCCCATTACCCCCACCGGTATTTCAACCCCGCCTAACATCTTGAGTCCAACCAGTAGTCAGATGTTTGACCAGTTTTCTGCATTCCAGAGACCGCCCAGAGTTATACATCCCTACAAACGTCTGCAACGGACTTACGATTACTCGGCGCCCGACTACCAGTCCCCACACGAGACCGACACTACCGGTGAGCTTAATGTGAGCAGTGATGAGGAGGAGGGCGCTGGCGGTTGGAGTCAATGGTTCTCTGGACTCGTATTTCAGAAGGAAAGGGGTTTGATATAGGATTTGGACAGGGATTAGAAATTGAAACTGGATCGTACGGCGCTGTATACAGGGGCACCTATACTCAGCAGGTATGCATCAATATTACCTATTACTTATTTATTAACTATGAGTCAATGATCTCGACACTAATTTTATAGATAGTAAACATCGGCCAAAAGGAGGGCCATTACCTTAAGGATGTGACACCAGGAGCCCAGTTCGCCGCTAAATACGTTGAGCTATACGAAAACGCATCGATCTTTGAGCGCCTGTATCACGAGGTGGAGAAGGAGGTGATGAAGTCTATGGCCGGACACCCGAATCTAGTCGCCTATAAAATGGCCATAAATTTAGGTAAAAGTCGTGTCATTCGGCATCAAACTAACCCCGCATTCAATTTCTATAGCTGTGACCGTATGTTCCTGATCATGGAGTTGGCTGACCAGGGTACTCTGCTACAGTTGCTGAGTCAACGCAAAATATATGATCTCCTGGCACTCAGATTCATTTTGATTGCCTAATGATTAATGCCATTTTGATTCAGACTTATGCACCGGTATGTCACATAACTCCTAATCCCATAGAGTTATCTAATATTAAATATAAACTAATTATTAAACTAATAATGTATTATAGGTTTGGCTTATTTGCACGGAAATGGTGTACTCCATGGGGACATCCATTCGGGTAATGTCTTACTGTTCACCGGAAGCGATGGCGAAGTAGTGGCCAAATGGACGGACTTTGGAAAGAGTATATCCCGTAACCACTTGTCGGGTGGTGTCGTGTCGGACGACGAATACTATGAGTTAATGTTGTCTGACGTCCACAATATGGCCAATGAGTTCCGGTATATCTTGGGTCAGGCGACGGTCAGCCCTCTCAATGTGGGCGTCAGTCTCGCGGAGGTTAAGGCATTGGCCGACGAATTGACTAAAACACGGCAAACATTGGTCGATGTGTTGGAAAAATATGCGTTTGAAATGATTTATTTGAATCAATAATTTGAATCAATTTAGTATTATAGAAATTAAAATTGTAATTAATTTCGGAAATTAAATGAGAGATTACTCTACGGCTAATCATACAAAATAATTCAATATTTATTTGTATAAATAAATTATAGCGTTATATGTAATTTACTGATTATTGATTATTATTTACTAGAAGCACAATGTCAAACTCGGAAACATATGTTTAAATTTAGAATTTTTAGTATTACCATGAAACTATATTAAATTTATAATGACAAATAATGAAAAACATTTGTAAACTCTTGATATGGCCTTTCAGTTAACGCTTTTGATTGGTTGGTAGAAAAAGGTCTCCCACTAGTTTCTGTAGCTATCTATACATTTGTTTTAAACATTTTTCTTATTTTGAAAATTAAAATATATTTCAATAATATTTTTGTAACAAATTTCAAAAATTATCGAAATATTTGACACAAAATAGTGATTATTTGTGTCCAAAACAACTCGTGTTAAGACTAATCCAGACATCAATCTGCTTGTAATCCATGTCTGCATTGAAACGGATCAACAAAGAAGTGCATGAATTACGGACAGATCCCCCGCCCGGATGTACGGCCGGACCCCTCACTCCCAACACCGATCCCTTCTTATGGGAGGCCACTATCGCAGGTCCACCGGACAGTCCATACGAGAGCGGCGTCTTTAAGCTGTCCATACAGTTCCCGCGGGAGTACCCCTTCAAACCACCGCACGTTTCCATGACTACCCGTGTATATCACCCAAACATCTTATCCAATGGTATATGTTTGGACACACTTAAGACACAATGGAGTTCCGCCCTAACCATCGCCAAAGTGTTGCTGTCTATACAGCAGCTGTTGGCTTAGCCCAACCCGGACGACCCCCTGGCCCCAAATGTAGCCCATGTATACCGGACCGACCCTTTGAAGTTCAACAGGACAGCCAAACAGTATACACAACAATATGCCAAACCCCCTGTCCCCGCAAATCAAGGCATTGAGAGTGCTGGTAGTGGTGGCACAGGTAGTTAATAGGATTTAGAAAATTCATATTAAATTATTTGAATTATTAAACGAAATGTTTTTATTTGTTCAATCATTTGCACTAATTTTGTACTATTTATCAATTACTGTATAGTGATTACTAATACTGATTAGTGAGAGCACCTGTATTATCATTATTGTGAAACTTATTATAATTTAATAAAATTATAACTGAAAGTTATGTGATAAGCTACAAGTGCATTGTATATTTTTTGGTACAATGTGTAAAAATTGGTGTAAATTGATATTTGAGCATTTCATAAAATTATCGTAACCAAGATTAATTAATGGTTTTCGATTTCTATATAAACATAATTTAAAAACTGAATTTTTATTTTATATCCAATTAGAATTTTAAAAATTATTTATTTTTAACAATAATTTTGTATTTAATATGAACATTGCTAATTTGAAAATTGTGTTAATTTTTCAATTAATAGTATGCA